GCAGGGGACATGGGTTCATGCCCTGGTCCAGGAAGATCCCACATGCTGCAGAGCGGCTGTGCCCATGAGCCATGGCCGCTGAGCCTGTGCGTCCGGAGCCTGTGCTCCGCAATGGGAGAGGCCACAACAGTGAGAGGCCACGTACCGCAAAAAAAAAAAAAAGAAGAGCTGCTTTTTGATAAGATAAATAAAATGGACAAACCTCTAGCCAGGCTCACCAAGAAGAAAGAGGGCCCAAATAATATAAGACATGAAAGAAGAAAGATAACAACTAATACAACAAAAATAGAAAAAAAATTATAAGAAAATACTATGAACAGTTGTATGCTAACCAATTAAACAACTTAGAAGAAATGGACAATTTTCTATAAACATACAGCCTGCCAAAATTTAGTCAAGAAGAAACAGATAATTTGATCAGATTGATCACTAGAAGTGAAATAGAATCAGTAACTTAAAAAAAACCAAAAAACAAAACTCCCTGCAAAACAAAGTCCAGGACCAAACAGGTTCACTGGGGAATTCTACCAAACATACAAGGAACTTACACCAATCCTTCTCAAACTATTCCAAAAGATAGAAGAGGAGGAAAAACTCCTCACGTCATTCTATGAAGCCACTATCACCCTGATTTCAAAACCAGAAAAAGACACACACACACACACACACACACAATTACAGGTCAATATCTTATGATGCAAAAATTCTCAACAAAATATTAGCAAACTGAATCCACCATACATAAAAAGAATCATATACCATGATCAAATTGGATTCATTCCAGAGTCACAACAATGGTTCAACATACACAAATCAGTCTATGTAATACACCACATTAACAAAAGGAAAAACAAAAACCACATGAACATCTCAATAGATGCATAAAAAGCATTTGACAAATTTCAACATCCATATATGACAAAAACTCTCACCGAAGTGGATATAGAGAGAACATATTTCAACATGATAAAGCTATTTATGACAAACCCACAGACAACATAATATTCAATGGTGAAAAGCTGAATGTTTTCCCACTAAATTCAGGAAAAGGACAAGGATGTTGATTCTCAAAACTGCTATTCAACATAGTATTAGAAGTCCTAGCCACAACAACAACACAAGAAAAAGGGGAAAAATTATCTAAATTGGAAGGAATGAGGTAAAAATGTCACTACTTGCAGATGACTTGATATTCTATATAGAGAGCCCTAAAGTCTCCACACAAAATCTAGTGGAATACATGAATTCATCAAGGTAGCAGGGTACAAGATTACTATGCAGAACTCTGCTGCATTTCTTTACACTAACAATGAAATATCATGAAGGGAATGTTAAAAATATATATACATTTTAAAATCAAATCCTTAAAATAAAATATTTAGGAATAAACTTAACCAAGGAGATGAACGACCTATACACTGAGACCGATAAAACATTAATAAAGGAAACCACAGGTTATTCAAAGAAGTGGAAAAATATCTCATGCTTTGGTATGGCAAGAATATTGTTAAAATGGCTATACTACCAAAAGCAATCTACAGATTTAACATGATCCTTATCAAAATATCTATGATATTTTTCACAGAACTAGAACAAATAATCCTAAAATTTATATGGAACCACAAAAGGCCCAGAATTCCTGAGGAAAAAGAACATAGCAGTAGGCATAACCCTTCCAGACTTCAGACAATACTACATAGATATAGTACTCAAAACAGCATGATATTGGCACAAAAACAGACAAATCAATGGAACACAATAGAGATCCCAGAAATAAACCCACACATCTATGGTCAGTTAATGTTTGACAAAGGAGGCAAGAATGTACAATGGAGAAAAGTCTCTTCAGCAAATGGTGTTGGGAAAGCTGGACAGCTACATGTAAATCAGTGAAATTAGAACACTTCCTCATACCATATACAAAAATAAACTCAAAATGCTTTAAAGACCTAAATGTAAGACATGACACCATAAAACTCCCAGAAGAGAACGTAGGCAAAACATTCTCTGACATAAATTGTAGCAATATTTTCTCAGATCAGTCTCCCAAGGCAAAAGAAATAAAAGCAAAAATAAACAAATGGGACCTAATCAAACTTAAAAGGCTTTGCACAGCAAAGGAAACCATTGACAAAATGAAAAGACAACCTATGGAATGGGAGAAAGCATTTGCCAACTATGCAACCAACAGGGGGTTAATAGCCAAAATATACAAACAGCTTATACAACTCAATATCAAAACAAAAAAAAATCAAAAAATGAGAAGACCTAAAAAGAAGACATATGGATGACCAACAGGCACATGAAAGCATGCTCAACATTGCTAATTATCAGAGAAATTTAAATCAAAACCACAATGATGTATCACTTCACACCAGGCAGGATGGTTATCATCAAACAGTCTACAAATAGTGAATGCAGGAGAGTGTGTGAAGAAGAGAGAACCCTCCTACACTGTTGATGAGAATGTAAATTATCACAGCCACTATGGGAAACAGTATGGAGGTTCCTTAAAAAACTAAAAATAAAGCTACTATATGAACTAGCAATCCCACTCCTGGGCATATATCTGGAGGAAACTAGAATTCGAAAAGCTACATGCAACCCCGATGTTCATGACAGCACTGTTCACAATACCCAAGACATGGAAACAACCCTGTGCCCATCAACAGATGAATGGTTTGAGAAGATGTGGTATATATATTATAATACACACACACACACATATATATTCACACACACAAAATAGTACTCTGTCATTAAAAAGAATGAAATATTGCCATTTGCAGCAACATAGATGGACCTAGAGAATATTATACTTAGTGAAGTGAGTCAGAGAAAGACAAATACTATATGATATCAATTTTATGTGGAATCTATAAGTTAATACTAATGAATCTATATATAAAATGGAAAGACTCACAGACACAGAAAACAAACTTGTCATAACCAAAGGGGAGAGGAGGAGGGGAGGGACAAATTAGGGGTACAGGATTAACAGATACAAACTACTATACATAAAAATAGATAAGCAATAAGGATTTACTGTATAGCACAGGACATTATATTCAATATCTTGTAATAACCTATAATGGAATATAATCTGAAAACAAATAACTGAATCACTATGTTGTACATCTGAAACTAACACATTTTAAATCAACTATATGTCAAGGTTTTTTTAAAAAAATGGAAAAAATAAATAAACCAGCACATTTGTAATCTGCACTACACAATTTAGCACATACCCTTTTGTATATTTCATTATTGTTTTTCCTCCCGACTAGATTGTGACTACTTAGGTAGTATAGTATGAATCATGAATTATACTTCATATCCACCACAGAATTTAACACTGTATTGGATATAGTAGGTAACAAAATACTTACTGGTATATTGACCTATGCTAAAATTAAGGTTTTCAAGTTTCCATAGGTATTTAGTTGTTCTAGTATTTCAAGATTTGATGACATACTGTGTACCTAAGTGTCCATCAACAGATGAATGGATAAAGAATGGAATACTACTCAGCCATAAAGTGAATGAAATATTACCATATGCAGTAACATGGATGGACCTAGAGAATATCATACTAAACAAAGGAAGCCAGACTGCAAAAGACAAATATTGTATGATATCTATTATATGTAATGATATCTCTTATTTGCAGTCTAAAAAATAATACAAATGAATCTATATACAAAACAGAAATAGAATCACAGACATAGAAAACAAATTTATGGTTACTAAAGGGGAAAGGGAGGGGGTTGGGCTAAATTAGGAGTATGGGATTAACATATACAAACCATTATACATAAAATTGATAAGCAACAATGGTTTACTGTATAACATGGGGACCTATATTCAATATTTAATAACTATCATGGAAAATACCTGAAGAAAAAATATATACATATGTATGTATATACATATATACACACACACATACATCTATATCTGAATCATTTTACTGTACAAATGAAATTAACACAATAATGTAAATCAACTATACTTCAATTAAAAAAATTAAGATTTAAAGAGTATTAAATGCTTATAGGAGTCGGAAGATAAAATCTGGTGTTGACTAAGTTATGAAGAATTAGGCAAAAATATATTAGCCATAAAGATGGCTACTACAGAGTGATTTGAAATATACAACTTGATTGTCATAATCATTTCACACTGATAGTATACTAAATCACCATGCTACACACTCTAAATATATACAATTTTAACTTGTCAACTATACCTCAATAAAGTTGGGGGAAAAAAAAGTTCAATTTACTATGAAGGTGTAGCAATTCTAAACATTCATGAACTTAACTGCATGGCTCAAAAATATATAAAGAGGGACTTCCCTGGTGGTGCAATGTTTAAGAATCTGCCTGCCAGTGCAGGGGACATGGGTTCGAACCCTGGTCTGGTAAGATCCTACATGCCATGAAGCAACTAAGCCCGTGTGACACAACTACTGACCCTGTGCTCTAGAGCCCACGAGTTACAACTGAGCCCACGCACCACAACTACTGAAGCCCACACATCTAGAGCACATGCTCCACAACAAGAGAAGCCACCACAATGAGAAGACTGCACACCGCTATGAAGAGTAGCCCTTGCTCACCACAACTAGAGAAAGCCTGTGCGCAGCAACGAAGACCCAATGCAGCCAAAAAACAAGAAAAAATTAAAAATTCAAAATATATATATATATAAAGAAAATTCAGAGAAACACAAAAAGAAATGAACAAACTGACCATTGTAGTAAGAGATTTAAACACATACCTATTAATAATTGATAGATCAATACACACACTATCAATAGGATATAGAATATTTTAACATAAATGTCTAACGAACATTTAGAAAAGGCTGCACCCAAAGAGTTGTAGACCATATGCTATTTTTAATAATCCATGAAATTAAAATTAAAAATTGTCCATGTGCTAGGCATTAAAGCACGTCTCAGTAAACTAAAATAAAATCTATTAGTATATCCACACTCTCTGAGATCAACAAAACATTTCATAATTCAGTAACAAAAGTAATGTAAATTAAATACACTTGTAAATTTTTGACCTATCTTCTAAATAATCCATGGGTAAAGAAGCGATCATAATTAGAGGATAATTACAACTAAATGATAGCAAAACTTAATTTTCAAAACTTTTCGAATATAGTTTTAAAAGTATGTAGAGGGCAATTTATATACTTAAATGCTTATATTTGAAATTAAGAACATCTGAAAATCTGATGGTCTGAAAATGAGTTAAGCATTCATCTGAAATAATGTGAGTGTATGTGTGTGTGTAATTGAGAATACTGCCAAAGAAAATAGAAATTTAAAAGACCAGAAAATACCAAAATAATAAACTAAAAATTAGTTATTTGATCAATTTATGACCAAAATGAGCAAGAAAAAAATAAAGAGAAACAAAAGAGAAGGCAAATAATTAATAGCAAGAATTGTATGGAAGAAACTGTACTTTCAAGGGATATTAAAAGATTTTTAATTGAAGATATTATGAAAAATTTATGTTATTAATTTGAGAACATTGGGGGAATAGGTACATTTCTAGAAAAATATTAATTATAGATAGCAACATATGAAAAAGTAGAAAACTTGAATTCTAGAACCAGCAGATAAAACTGCCCTATGCAGAAAACCTCAGGCTCAAATAGATAGAAAGGAACCTCCTTAACTTGATAACAAAGAGCCTAAATCAATGTAAGAATTATCTTCAAAATCAGGATGAAGAATAGGATGGCAACTCACTACTTTCATTCAACATTTTATTGGCGGCTAAGCTAGAGCATAAAAGCAAGAAAAATATAATAATTTGGTTTAAAAAGGAAGAGTAACTACTGACTTTTGCAGGTATTTTAAAAAACAGTAATTTACAAATTATAAGAATTAACGAACATGTGAAGCAAGGTTGCTCAGGAGAAAATCAATATGATAAATTCAATTGTTTGTGTTTTTTTACAGAAGCAACAAACATGTAATAATAAGGATTACATTTAAAATACTGACCGAAGTATGAGTTACCAAAAAATAATCTAATATGAGCAAGATCATTATCTGGAAATTGATAATGTTTATTGAAAGACATTAAAGACAACTTAAATGGAGTATGAAGAGATGTACATAATATTTATACTGTCTAGGAAAAACCAATAGCTATCAGTATAGAAAGGAATCTATAAATAAATTACAATTACAATCCAAATTCCAATAGCTATTTTTTCTGTAACTTGACAACCTGATTCTTAAATGTGTTAGATAGAGGGGGAAAACAATCAAGATCCATCAAGAAATTTCTAAGGAAGAAGAATAAGATGGGTAGATTTTACCTACCTGTCATTTTTAAAGCTGTAGTAAATAAAACAATGTGATATTAGTGCAGGGAAAGACCAAAAAGAAACCAAATGAAAGGTGCAAAACCTAAACCACACATTTACCATGAACAAATAAAGGTATAAACAGAGGTTGCATTTGTATATCAATAGGATGTGATTAACTCTTCCATAAATTATTACAAATAATTGATTTCTCATACAGAAAATGAAAATTGTTCAACTTTTGTTAAACAATTACAAGAATCAGTTCCAAATATATCCATTATTTATATGTGAAAGGTGAATATCTAAAACTGTTTGAAGAAATTTTAGAAAAATAACCTTGTGTTCTTATGATCAGGAAGGTTTTCTTAAGCCACATAGAGGAAAAGGGTATAAGTAAAATAGATTAAAAATAAGAATAAAAGCATATGATCTTCCCAATAGATGCAAAAACACTTTCAACAAAATTCAACACCAATTTATGATAAAAAAAAAAAGCTCTCCAGAAAGTGGACACAGAGGAAACATACCTCAACATAATAAAGGCTGTATATGACAAACCCACAGCTAACATCATACTCACCAGTGAAAATCTATCAGCATTTCCTCTAAGATCAGGATCGAGACAAGGATGTCTACTCCCACCACTTGTATTCAACATAGTTTTGTAAGTCCTAGACACAAAAAATCAGAGATGGAAAAAAATAAATAAAAGGAATCAAAGTTGGAAAGGAAGAAGTAAAACTGTCACTGTTTGCAGATGACATGATACTATACACAGAAAACCCCAAAGATGCTACCAGAAAACTGCTAGAGCTCATCAATGAATTCAATAAGTTGCAGGATACAAAATTAACACACAGAAATCTGTTGCATTTCTATACATTAACAACAAAAGATCAGAAAGAAATTAAGGAAACAATCCCACTTACCACTGCATCAAAAAGAATAAAATACCTAGGAATAAACCTACCCAAAGAGGCAAAAGACCTGTACTCTGAAAACTACAAGATGCTGATGAAAGAAATCGAAGATGACACAAACAGATGGAAATATATACCATGTTCTTGGAATGGAAGAATCAATACTGTAAAACTGACTATACCATCCAAGGCAATCTACAGATTCAATGCAATCCTTATGAAATTAACAATGGGATTTTTCACAGAACTAGAAAACATATTAAATTTGTACGGAAACACAAAAGACACCAAATAGCCAAAGCAATCTCAAGAAAGAAAAATGGAGCTGGAGGAATCAGGTTCTCTGACTTCACACTATACTACAAAGCTACAGTCATCAAAGCAGTATGGTACTGGCTCAAAAACAGAAATATAGATCAATGGAACAGGATAGAAAGCACACAAATAAACACATGCACCCATGGTCAGTTAATCCATGACAAAGGAGGCAAGAATACACAATGGAAAAAATAGTCTCTTCAATAAGTGGTGCTGGGAAAACTGGACAGCTACATGTAAAAGAAGGAAATGAGAACAGTCTCTAAAACCATACACAAAAATTAACTCAAAATGAACTAAAGACCTAAATGTAAAACCGGATACTATAGAATTCTTAGAGGAAAACATAGGCAGAACACTCCTTGACATAAATCGCAGCATATCTTTTTGGATCCACTTCCTAGAGTCATGAAAATTAAAACCGAAATAAACAAATTGGACCTAATTAAACTCAAAAGCTTTTGCACAGCAAAGGAAACCATAAACAAAACGAAAAGACAACCCACAGGATAGGAGAAAATATCTGCAAATGAAGTGATCAACAAGGGATTAATCTCCAAAATATACAAACAGCTCGTGCAGATCAGTAATAAGAAAACAAACAACCCAATCAAAAAATGGTCAGAAGATCTAAATAGACATTTCTCCAAAGAAGACATACAGATGGCCAAAAGGCACATGAAAATATGCTCAATGTTGCTAATTATTGGAGAAATGCAAATCAAAACTACAATGAGATATTACCTCACATCAGTCAGAATGGCCATCATCAAAAAATATACAAACAATAAATAATGGAGAGGGTGTGGAAAAAGGGAACCCTCCTTCACTGTTGGTGGGAATGTAAATTGGTACAGCCACTATGGAGAACACTATGGAGGTTCCTTAAAAAATTAAAAATAGAGCTATCATATGATCCAGCAATCACACTCCTGGGCGTATCTTCAGAGAAAATCATAATTCAAAAAGATACATGCACCCCAATGTTCACTGCAGCACTATTTACAATAGCCAAGACATGGAAGCCATCTAAATGTCCATTGACAGATGAATGGATAAAGAAGATGTGTTATACATATACAATGGAATATCACTTAGCCATAAAAAAAAATGATGTCATTTGCAGCAACATGGATGGACCCGGAGATCATCATACTAAGTGAATTAGTCAGACAGAGAAAGACAAATATCATATGATGTCACTTATATGTGGAATCTAAAAAATGATACAAATGAGCTTATTTATAAAACAGAAACAGACTCAGAGACTTAGAAAACAAATTTATGGTTACCAAAAGGGAAAGGTGGGCTGGGGAGGGATAAATTAGGAGTTTGGAATTAAACATATACATGCCACTATATATTAAATAGATAATCAACAAGGACCTATTATATAGCACAGGGAACTCTACTCAATATTTTGTAATCACCTAAATGGGAAAATAATCTGAAAAAGAATAGATATATGTATAACTGAATCACTTTGCTGTACACCTAAAACTAACACAACATTGTAAATCAACAATACTCCAATTTAAATAAAAATTTTAAAAATAAAATTTAAAAAAATCTTCTTTATCGAAAGACCCAAAAGAGGATAGCAGTATATTACATAATGGATAAGAGATATTTTCAACACATGTAACAATAATCAATTAGTTACCAGAATACATCAATTAAGAAAACAAGATAAGTTTATAAAGCAATTATACTCCAATAAAGATATTAAAAAAAAGAAAACAAGATAAGCAATGCAACATGAAATTGAATATGCATTTCATAGAAGAGGAGACACTCATGTTCAGTAAAAATGAAAATTTGCCAAGTAGTCAAAAAAAATGTAAATGTCAGCACATGAAACACTCTGTCACAGCAGTCAAAATGACAAAAATTGAATATCAAGTGTTGTGGAGACAGAGAAAGAGGAACTCTGAAATTTCTGGTAACTGAGGAAATGGTACAGCAATTTAGGAAAATAATTTGAAATAACTTAGTAAATTTAAATAAACACCATACTTATGACCCAGCACTTCTGTACCTAAGAATATGCCCCCAAGTCCTGTTCCAATTGCAAACCAAGAGAAATATGCTATAATATGCATTGGGACTTGTTCCTAACATGCAAACAAAAAATTGTACCCCAATAATAATCCTACAAATAGGATAATAGGTAAATGGAGTGTAATCTAGTTGTACAATGGAGTAGTCTTTAGCATCGAGTCCGTAAAATGTACTTGCATCAGTATGGATTCATCTCAAAAGATAGTATCAATATTTCAAGGGAAGAGGCAAGTTTCAGGATACATGCAATGTAATTCTATTATGCAAAGCACAAAATCTTGCAAAATTCTACCATAAGGCACAAAGAAGATTTATGAGGTGCCAGTAATATTTTCTTACTGTGGGTGGCAGGGACATAAATATTCATTTTATTGTAATATTATTGATTTTTAAATCCTAAAAATATATTAAGTACCATTTATTGTGTGTCTGGTTTATTAAACATTTCTATAAAAGGAAAACCAAAATAGTAAACAAAGAGAACAGTGACAGAAGATGGATTGCAAGATGGCTTGCTGTGTAAATAAAATATTTTGCTTGAGAAACTTTAAGTAGTGATAAATGTCATGTTAAACTGCATGCTCAACAATTTCATTTTCTCTTTCAAAAATATTATTAGCTTACTCTGTTCAGTGTGCATATCTCACTACACAATAAGTAGAAGAAAAACAGAGTAGGAGTAGATGGAGAGTTGAATTGTTTTGAACAGAGTGAGTGCCAACATGTATTGAATGGATGATGGCTCTTCCCTGCCGTGAACTTGCCTTTGATCTGAATGTGAATCTCCTGCCTATAGCTTTCTCACTACATCATGACAGCCTTCATGGAGCAGGGGACTAGCTTGGTTCCCCAAGTGAACATGAATTCACTGACACTTTGAGACCCTATCTGTCATGCTGCCATCAGTGCCATGTGCCGAATTTCAAAATCTGAGTTGACAGGGATAATGCTGAGTTAAAGGAGGCATTAGGGAATGACTGTCTCTCTTGCAGCAGGTAAAATG